TCTCACGAGCCCCAGAGGGCACGAAGAGCTGGGGACTCCTCGGGCCAGGACCAGCTCTAACTTCCGCGCACCCGCTGCCAGCAAAGCCGCCTTCCCGGGAGAAGCTACTGGGAGAGCTCCTGGATTGAAGGTGTGGCGGGCGTTCCCACATTGGGCGTTTTCGGGTGATAAGGAGGTTGCGGGGGATGATCGCAGCATCAATTCATATATATATATATATATATACACAGGTTTCTCTCTCCTGCTACCCAGCGGTGTGAGCGCCCGATCGTAGTGCCGTGCCCTGCCAGAGTGCACGAGGCCCCGAGACCCAGCCTGTACCCACCACGTCTTTGGATTGTTCTCGAAGGGGGTGAGAAGAAGAAGAAACACAGGTTTCTCCATCAGATTCGATTAGTTGTGTGCGTGCATGTTTGATCAAGCATGATCGCTCGCTCGTTCTTCCTCTACCGCTCGCATCTCGCTGTTACATGTCTGCCAGCGTCCTACCATCTGTCGTACGTACTGCACCAGCGCAACCACAAAGAACATATACTATGACTGTGCGAAGTGGCCGTTGTTGGCCCGCCTGTTTTGCCACGCATGCGTATTGATTGTGTGGCCCTGATGAGTGGTATGTACTTCTCTGGGTGACTTGATTATCCCCGCAGCACTTCTACTGGTTCCATATCGATTTCCAGTTCGAGATGCGTCCACCCGCAAAGTTCGATGTGCATTGCCATTGTCGTTGGATCGCCATTGGGTTTCTGCTTCCAGTTGCACTTCGTTTCTAATTTCGATTGGTGTGTAGGTCTGTATGCCCGTTTACCTTTAGTTTGCATATACCCACTCATATATGCAATTACATGTGCATGTCTATGTTCGTGTCGACGTGCAGTTCGATGCGCATGTCGGCGTACGATTTGAGGTCGTTCTCGATTGCAAGTTCTTTCGAAGGTCAATGTGAAGTTCGACTGCAGTTCGACGCACATGCTTATATGAAGTTCGACTTGCATCTTGATTTACACCTCGTTGCTGTGATCTTCAAACTAGCGTTCGATTCGCATGTCGATGTGCATTTTGATTGCAATTGGATGTGCATGATGATGCGCACTCCGAGTGCAATTGGACCTGCATTTCGATTAGCAGCTCCTACGGGGCAACAACGAAACCGCCTGCGGAACAATCCACGGGACAACCGCGGGACAGCAATCTTCAGGACAGCCACACAAGAACCCCGAGGCAACCCACAGGACAACCACGGGGCAAGTGAGGAACAACCACAGCGAGGAACCGCGCAACCCGAGGAACAGTTATTTTACGCCAGCACATCGTCGCCCTCACGCAGCTTCGCCTCGAGCGACACGAAGTGAAATCGAAATCGATGTCCTGGTTTGGGGTCACGTCTCTCCCACCCCCTCAATCTTTTGTTGCTCCAGGACGTTAAGTATTGTTCCTGGCCTGGGCCGCAGGGAGCGTTGAAGCTTACGGCGGTGCCGATACATGCCCGCGCGGTGTTGTTTGGGGGAAGTCGCAGTATCCGTGGACGCGCGAGCGCTTTGAGTGGCTTGCAGCGCGCGCGCTTCCACAGGGCGACCGTCAGAAGTAGGCAAGGTTGTGCAAAAGCGGCAGGCAACCTCGCCGTCGACACGAAGTCGAAGGGCGGCCGGCTCATCATTTACGACTTCGGACAGGTGGGGTGCACATTGTCCAGCTCCACGTTTGCAGTGTCTCTGCGCGCGTTCTGCTCGAGGTGGTCCTCCTTCCTGTCGCCGACCCGTGGAGATTCTGTTCGATAGTTTGGAACGATTGATGTTCGAGGCCCGTCTCGTCCCCCTCGTCTGTCGTTCCTTCAAAAGGCTTCGGATCCCAGGGAGCGAGTGTCACTTCAACCTCGCGGGCTGGCAGCAGCCTGGGCAGTCTCCACAGCAGCGCTCGCGCACGAGTGTGCGAACGGAGTGATCAGCGACGCGCCGTCTGCTTCAGCTTCGAGAAGCTGTCTGGCTGACAGGGTACGGCGGAGGAGGAGAACGATGGCGAAGACAATGCCTACGGGGTTGAGGAGGTCGAGGTGGAGGGGAGGGAGCGGTAGAGGAGGAAGAGGAGGAGTTGGAGGGTGGGAGGAGAGATGAGGAGAAAGGAGGTGACGGGCGCGGAGGAAGAGGAGGAGGAGGAGGAGAAGGAGGACAACAATGTGGAGTTGGGAGAGGAGTAGGGAGAGGGGGAGGGGAGCAGAAGCATGTTGAGGAGCAGGAGCAGGAAGCGTAGGAGGAGGATGAGCGCGGACGTATCCGTGGCTTGTCCCCGTAGACGCGTTGAGGGCAAGCATGCGGCGGGCCAGGCGTTTCGCTTGAGCATCCTCACCATCTATTGTCCTGAAGCTTGTAATCTGCCATGGTTTCACTGATGGAGGACGGGCCGTGTTCAAAATGTGGTTCTCGCCTCAGCGCCGCGCACATTCGTTCTAAAAGCTTGCAAGAGCTTCACAGATGGAGAACGGGTAGTTTTCAAAATGCGGTTCTCGCTTTAGCGCCGCGAGCACCCGCTTCAAGTTTGCAAGAGCTTCACGGATAGAGGGCAGTCCTTGTTCAAACGATAGTCGTCGCCGCATTTATTCGTCTAATAAATGTGTTGAAGTTTTGCGGATGGCGAGCGGTTTCTTTTGAACATGTGGTTCTCGCCTTAGTGCCGCATGAGAATATGGATCAGGAGGGAGGCAGGTCGGACAACCGGAAAGAGAAGGCGAGAGAGAGTGAGATAATAAGAAAAAGGAGTGATCAAACATGATGTGGTCGTCCATGATTCAGGGTCAAGGCACGGCCCAGAATATGCATGTTCATACGCATGCAGGAACAGTTGACAGTTGCCATGGAAGGGGAGGCCACAGAATGAGGAGCCGCAGCAGCAGCTGCAGGAAGAGGAGACGTCAGAGAGTGGGCCGATGGAGGAGGAAAAGAGCAGCGGCAGAGGGTACGGAAGAGTAGGTGGAGGAGGAGGAAGTCGAGGAGGAGGAAGAGAAGAGAAGTAGGAGGATGAGGAGGAGGAGGAGGAGAAGGAGAGGGGCGTAATGTTCAAGTATTGGTTATGATGGGAATGCTGCTCATCTATCCAGCCAGGTGTCGTACTTGACAGAGTCCCAGTGCGATGGCGTATTGCAGGCCTCGGGGAAGTGGGGGAATGGAGAAAGCGTGTTGGGAGGAGGTGGAGCACGAGGGGAATGCGAACGGGCAGTCGACTAGCATCAACCCAGTAGAGAAAATGTTTAGCGGTCAGGAACGTAAGCCTAGCGTGTCGCACCGCCAGTTCCGGCCCGATTCAGCACGTACCAGTCCCCCAGTATCAACGTCCAAAGTTGTTGTCCCAGCTTCCCGTCACACGTAGCATAGCGGCACGCTACCGGCTTGCAAGGCATGGCGTGTCGCAGGGGTCGCCGCCGCGACGCGCTAAGCAAAAGTTCCTGACCATTGTTGCACTACGCGAACCGCGCCCAGAAGATGGCGTTCAATCTACCCGTCTGATGTCTTCATTGCTTGGAGAACCATGCGTGACAACATATTTTGGTGATCGCCCCGGAAGCTCGCACTCACCAGTGGCAGGATCATTGATCCCGAAGTGCCAGGGGTGGTTGCGTTGCTTTGGTGGGCTCATCGGGGACATGCTACGAATCACCATTTCTCGTGCTGACAGGAGTGCAGGAAGGGACAGAAGCAGGAAGCAGCCCAGACGGCAATGGGCCGAGAGAGCCTCGAACACGATCAGGGCGTGAGCATGCCCCTGATCTCTCGGTCTGCCGTTCCCGCCTCCAGCCCACCCGTGGGCGCCTCTCTCCCTCGGAGGTGCCGTCTTTCTTCCCCCCCTCCTCCCCCCCCGCCCGTCCCGGCAGTCGAGTTTGATTAGTAGGTCGACCCTGCCAGATCAAGGGTACCCTTGTGTCCTGTGTTTCGCGACCCATGCCTTCTGCCTTCCTGTGGAAACGTGGCCCTCGGAAGGGTCTCGTGTCCTCTCGCATGCCCTCTCCGATCAGGTCCGACTGTACCCCTCCCCGCACCCCTGCTCCCCTGCAATCGCCCTCCCCTGCCACTCCCTCCCCCCCCTCCTCCCCTGCCCCCTCCTGGCCTGCCCCCCCTGCCCCTCCCCTCCCCGCCCCCCTGCAACCGCCCTCCCCTGCCCCTCCATGCCCCCCCCCCTCCCCTGCCCCCCCCCTTCGCCCTCCCCCCTGGCCCCCCGGCCCCTCCCCTCCCCTGCCCTCCCCCTGCCCTCCCCTGCCCCTTCCTGCCCCCCCCCCCACCCTCCCCCGCCCGACCCCCCCTGCCCATCCCTGCCCTGCCCTCCCTCCCCTGCCCTCGCCCTCCTCCCTCGACCCCCCCCCCTGCCCTTCCCCCCGAGCCCCTTGCGCGGCAAAGGCCGCGGAAGGAGAGGGGGCGGCGGGGAGAGAGAGGCAGGGCTCGGGGCGGGGGAGGGGGGGGGAACAAGAGCAGGAGAACGCGCCGAAGAATCAGAACAGAACAGGCCCAGAGGAGGAGGAGGAGGAGGAGGAGGAGGAGGAGGAGGAAGAGGAGGAGGAGGAGGAGGAGGAGGAGGAGAAGAGGAGGAGGGGGGGGGAGGAGGAGAGGGGGAGGAGGAGGAGGAGAGGAGGAGGAGGGGGAGGGGGAGTGGCGCAAGAAAACGAGGACGGGAGGGAGGAGGAGGAGGAGGAGGAGGAGGAGGAGGAGGAGGACAACGACGAAGAGGAGACGCCATGGAGGCGCGAGCGTGTGCAAGGAGGGCGCGAGGAGAAAGAGGAGGAGGAGGAGGAGCAGGAGCAGGAGGAGCAGGAGCAGGAGCAGGAGGAGCATGAGCAGGAGCAGGAGCAGGAGCAGGAGCAGGAGCAGGAGCAGGAGGAGGCACGCCAATCCTCGGACAGAGCCGCCACCATCGAAGATCGCAGGAGGAGGAGCAGGAGGCGAAGGCGAGAGTTGCGGCAGGGCCGGCGGCAGGTCATACAGTCCATCGTCGACTTGGACGCCAAGGCGTGCGTCAAGGCGGCGTCCAGAGTCGCCTGTTCGTCCGCCCGGCTTGGTGACCCTTGTCTGCTCTTGGCTTCAATATCGTTTAACATGTCCCCATCCCCTCCGCACCATGGTACATCAGTCCCAACAGCCCACCGCCCCCAGTTGGGGATGTTGGGTATAGGCCCCTCGAAAACAGGTCGGCCAGTGGGGCCACTGTCGTGCCAGTGGAAATGGGGATCGGTGAAAAGATGTTCGTGGTCCCCACCTCCTGCCTCCGTTGCAGACTCGCCTCCGAGACAGCCTGGTGGGCCAACCGTCTCTCTCCTGCTCCTGCTCCTGCTTCCTCCTGCTTCTCCGCCTTATACTTATCATCCTGATTTCTCATCGGGCACGGTCGCTCCTCCTTCTCCTCCTCCTCCTCCTCCTCCTCCTCCTCCTCCTCCTCCTCTTCCTCCTGCTCCTCCTCTTCCTCATCCTCTCCTCCTCCTCCTCCTCCTCCTCCTCCTCCTCCTCCTCCTCCTCAGGTTTTGGCTTGGACTGACGGGCCACAGGGGGCCCGTGTCCCAGCCCCCGAGCCGCCTGCCCGAACTCGGGCGGCGGCATCATTCCTCTTTCATCGGCCCCTCCCAGATGCGTGCGCGATAGGTCGCCCGCGTGGCACAGGAGGGCTCGCCGCGCGCGCAGCCGCTCGCCAGCTTCTGCGGCTGGCCAGCGCGCGCGCCCTCCTGGCTCGCCATCACGGCGAACACCTGTGCACGCCGCGCGGCGGCCCTGGCGTCATGGCGGGCGACGGGAGCAGCCTCCAGTCGCCGTCGTCGTCGGCTGCGGGACCGCCGTGGCGCGCAGGAGCTCCAGGCGCTGGGAGAGGCGGGCCTGTATGGCCATGTCTCGCCAGCAGGTTGTGTGGTTTCAAGACTAACTTCAGCAGCAGGGCCACCTGCTGGCAGTGCGGGCGGTATCGACAAGGGCGGCTTCCAAGCGGAGGTCAGCAACGGGCATCGCGTACGAGGTCAACGTCGGCTGCTCGACGCCACCGTGGCCAGGCAGCTCCTCCTCGCGCTGCTGGTGATGCTGGCGCTGATGGTGCACCCGCCAAGCCGGACGAGTCCGAGGCCCTCGTGCGGGCTCGCAAGGCATTGGCGGCCTTGCGAAGGTTGCAGTACGACGACGACCACGCATCCATCGTCAATCCCACCCGCGAGGTCAGAGCGCTGGAGGCAGAGGAGCGCCGCCGCAGGCCCCCAGACGCCGTCTTGCGCAGTGCCCAGGACCGCCTGGCCGCGAAGTCCAAGGAGAAGGAGGACACCGACAAGCAGTTGGCGCCTGCCGAGGCTCAAGTCGTGGACCTCCGCAAGCGCTCCGAGAGCCTCTCTGCGGAGGTGGGTGCCCTCCAGCAGGAGGTGGCCGAGGCGAGGGCCTTGGCGACGGTCTCGGCTGCTGGTCACAACGGGCTCGACCCCGCGGCCATGGCTTCCAACCTGCTCAACCTCCAGACGCTCATCGGCAACGCCCAGCAGTCCGTGGGCGCAGGCCAAGGCCTTCAGCTGCTGCAGTCCATCCACGCCGAGGTGCAGGACATGGGCGTGGCCTTCCCCGCGGCCAACGCCTCGGCCCTCGCGGCAGCAGCGGCGGCGGCCCAGGCGTCCGCTGCCCCTGGAGGGGCTGCCGCGCCCGCCGCGCCTGGGCAGGCGCAGGCTGCACCGCCCGCACCCTCGCCGCCGACGACTGCAGCGGGCACCGCGCCCTCGGAGGTGCACGGGTCGTTTCGGCCCACCGACGCCACCGACGGGGACGCTTCCATGGCGGCGCCTGGCCCCTCGCAGCCCGACATCGCGTAGCTGGGCCAGGCGGAGGGCACCCCGCCGCGCAGCGCGCACGAGCACTACGTTCGCTTCCTTCAACGGCTCGTGCTGGAGCACGTCCAAGGACTACCTCATCGCCTGCCCGAGGGACGTCGCGGTGGTGGCGGCGCAGGAGCTGCGCATAGACGGCTGTGACAAGGCCGCGGCTGAACTCTGGGCGGCTCGACACGGGTGGAAGCCCTACATTGCGGCTTGCCGCAGATTGGAGCCGGGCCGCCCCAGCGTCGGCGCTGGCATCTTCATCCGCGACCACATCGAGACGCACATCCTCGGCATGGGCTCGAAGGCCAGTGAGGCCTCTCATGGGATTTTGCCTTCGTGGGCGGTAGGTGTGCACACAGACGTGAGAATGCAGGGGGGGGGGGTGCGATTCTTGCGTCCGTGCACATGGAGTCTGTCGCTGTCGGCCTGCCTCACAAACACACAATTTTCAGAAGATAGCACGTGTGGGTGAATTCCTTAGGTACTATGACAAGCCGTTCATAGTGGCAGGGGATTGGACTTGCACCCCAGATTTGCTCGACAGTTTAGGTGTGCTGCAGAGCTTCCCAGCTTTATGTGTGGTGCCGTCTGGGGAGGGCACTTGCAGGTCTCCACAGGGAAACTACCGTGCCCTTGACCTCTGGCCCTCCTCTCCCTCCATTGCCTCATCGTGGGTGAACCCTAGGTGTGCGCCCGACTGGCCCACCAGGTCTCATTTCCCCATCCTAGCCGACCTGGTTCCGCATCCGCGGGCGGTCAAACAGCTATGTCTGCAAGCGCCCGAGGCCCTCCCCTGACCCCTTCCCGCGTTCGCGGGATGCCACCCTCTGGAGGGCCCCCCCCCGGGCCTCAGCCATATGTGGACCGTATCGCTGAGGACTCGGCCCGTGGGATCACCTCCGACTCAGATCAGCTTGCCACGCGTCTCGGTGAGTTGCATGGTTCCTCCCTGTCCATGGTGGAAGCTGACTTGTGTCACATTTATCAGGTGAGCGATAAGGAGCGTTTCAGGGGGAGGTCTGAGGGCCCCAGGTACGTTTGGCGTCATGCAGGAGGAACCCCTGCAGGCAATGAACACGCTAGCGTTCCCGAGGCCCGCCTCTTTCGCATCCTTGCTCAGGCCATGGCTGACGTGTCTTTCGACGCGGAGGATGCGCCAGTTGACGGCGCCCAGAGGGCTAGGAGGCTCCAAAGGGCGTTGCGCCCTGGCCACATGCGCGATGTCCACGCGGTGGTTGGCAAGACCATCTTTCATATTATCCCCTCGCTGCTGGATGCCTGAGCCGCCTCCGTAGCTCTTGGCTCGAGATCTTCGAGAGCCCGCACTTTCTTGCTCCTCAATTTCGCCGAGATTGCAGGTGCCCATGCGGAATCGCTCGAAAGGGCGGCCGCTGAGTCCCGGAAGAAGGCATTCCACAAGTGGGCGCGCGAGGCCATGATCGCATGCCCGACAGGCGTCTTCAACTACACCAAGGTGAGGGGATGGGCGCACTCATCGTGCCCGTGTAGACCGCTAGGTCTCACGCAGGCCCAGGCAGTCGCCGATGGCCAGGTGGACGGCTGGCGCTCTATATGGCAGGGTGATAAGCGTGCGCACGAAGGGGAGTTTGACGCTGACCACCTGACCTTCGCTGGTGCAGACGGAGTGGAGATGCAGACGCTACTGCGCGACCTGCCCGACGACGCCCTGCCAGTGCCGCAGGTCCAGGACATCCGCCGCGCGGCGCGTTCCTTTCCCTGGCGGGCTGGCACTGGTGTCGATCGTCTTTGCCCCAGGGCCTTTGACCTACTGGGCGACGAGGCCCTCGCTTTCATGATCTACCTTCTCTGGGCATGTGAGAAGTGGCACCATTGGCCGTCACAGCTCATGATGACCCACATAGTCCTCTTGGCCAAGAAGGGCGGAGCAGGGTTCAGGCCCATCGCGCTCCTTCCCTCCTGTTATCGTATATAGACAAAGGTACGCTTGACCCCATGTGCGCAGGCGGGCTCAGAGCAATGCCAGAGGTTTCTTTGCCATGGGGGCGGATAAGTGCACGGTCGATGCGGCATCAAGGCTCATGGTGCGTTCTGAGGCGGCCGCACGCCACCCCGAGCAAGTTGTCATCGTGTCGATTGTGGATATGCAAATGTTTCGATCGGGTTTCCTGGCCGGTGCTCATGGCAGCGGCGCGCCGCTTCGGTTTCCCAAGTTCAGCGATCAGGATGGCGCTTCTGATGCATCGAGCGCCTAGGCGTCCCACCTGGAGCGGCACCTTCTCGTATCCTGTGTCGGCGAAGCGCGGTGTCCTACCTGGCTGCACCGATGCGGTGTACCTGTTGCAGTTGCTGATGATTGCGCCCCTCGGTGCATTCATGGCGCAGACGGAGCACCTGCCGCGGTCCCTCGACGTGCACGCTGATGACCTGACCCTACAGCTGGTCATGCCTAGGAGTGATATTGTCCACGCTGCCACCGACGCGCTCGCGCTCTTGGCGGACACGCTGCGCGACATGGAGCTGCCGATTGCACCATCCAAGGCGAAGGTCATGGGATCGGACATGGAGCTTGCGACGGCGGTGAGTCGACGGGTGCGCCGATTCGGCTTCCGACCTGCGAACGTTCTTTCGGTGCTGGGCATGGAGGTCACAGCTGGACGGAGGCAGCGGCGCGCTGGTGTGCACGCGCGCCTCGCTGCCATGCGACGGCGGCTACCCAAGTTTCGCCGACTGCAGGGGCTTCGCATGAGGACTTACAGGCGAGTAACGGCCCCAACGATCGGGCTAGGGCTGACCTACGGCCTTCACGTGGTCAGCGCCCCCCCGCACATCGTGCGCATAATGACCGCATGCGCCAGGGTAGGGTGGGCTAAGACGCCAGCAGGACCGTCGACCTGGGTGGCATCGAGGCTCGATCCCAACTGGAGGCAACACCTTGAGTGTCTGGCCGCGGTTGGTCCTATATGCAACTGGGCCAGAATGATTGCCAGCGAGGCTGCCCCCCTCGTGGCGATGCAAGGCGCGTGGCAGCTGCAGACCCCGATTGTGCTACGTGCTGATGATCCTTGGCGGCATGTATAAGGGCCTGCATGGGGCGCTCGCCATCCAGCTGCGGCGGCTAGGGTGGATTGCGTCATCGGCATACGCCTGGCGGACCAGATCAGGCATTCAGCTTGACCTGAGGGTCGAGGCTCTTACCTGGACCCG